CAGGATACAGAGCTGGTGAGTAATGTCCTGTTTATAGCAGAACTGTGAGCGGTTCTGGAAAAAAAGAAGCCCTGTGGGAGGGAGGATGACAGGGAGCAGAGTCACTCCAAAGGCTGTGGCTCCTGCCGTGGTTTCCAAAGGCAATAATTAACGCTCACACCTCGGTGTACCAGCCTTCTGTCCCTTGGTAGCTGCTGTGCTGTGGGAGAGAGGGGTGGCAGCGTGTGAGCCATGCACAGGAGAGGAGCACAGACCCACCAGATCCAGGGCAGGTCAGGAGGATGATGCTTCTCCACACTGAAATAAAGAATTTACCCAGATTCCCCGTCAAGTGCTCAGAGCGGCCGCTTTGTGGCATTCCCAAAGTTATGGCAGGGAAGGGAATTGGCAGAGCCTGTAGGAAAGTTCAACCTTTCATGTTCAAACGAGGTATGTGCAGTTTGACTCACTGCTTTGGGCCAGGAGTTTCCATGCCCTGGTTCCTCTCACGCCCGGGGGTTCCCGCTCCCGGCCGAGGCGTTGCTGTGGTCACCAGCCAGAGTCCCTCCAGAGTCCACTCCTGCTTCTGGAAAAGCCAGGAGAAGCAGGACAGGTGATGAGCAACCCTTCTGTCCCTCTGGTTGCTCCTCAGGGTCTGACATCACGCAGGGTCAAGGCATGCCATGGATCAGGGCGCATCTTTTATCAATTAAAATTGGCAGGTCGTTTCCCCTCCTCTTGGCTCTGCTGTTTTTGCTCACACGTATGTTGCAATGTGCAAGGTGAGGCTCAAAACTGTCAAGCTCTTTAATAGAACCATTACTATATTTTTGGAGAACGTTCTCTTTTTGATTTACTGTTCCTTAGAAGACAGGAAATGGAGCTACTTGATTTCATATTTTAAACAAAGCCGTCCAGAGGTTTAATGAAAAAAATTTCCCCTGGCTTTTGAATTAAAGAGCTATGGTGAAAGATTTAGCTTAGCTATTTTGACTTAGAAAAATAACACGCTAGAAGCATTAAAACATTTTGTAAAAATACTTTTTACTACTAGAGAGGAGAAGTTTCTCTGGTTTTCTTGCTTTTGGTTGGTGGGGCTTTGAAATAAAAGGATATTTCCAAGGTTTAGGGTGGGTTTTCTTTTCCTTTCTTCAGTAAAATTTATTTTGCTTTTATATTAAAAGCCTTGAAACAATTGTAGTGCTAGAGACAAATCCTGTGTGTCTAAGCAAGGTAATTTGGTGTGAGTAATGACAGAAGCCTTTGCCATTAATAAAATGCAAGAAATGTTAAGCAGGAAGATGGGAACCTGATTCTGCTCCATCAGCAGTGGCAAAAGAAAAGGGTGGTGCTCCTTGAGAGGCAAATGTCTGTGGAAAGAGAGAAGTGGGAGATTGATTTCAGGCAAAAATTAAAATTTTATTAGGAAAATTCTGTGTATGAAGCAGAATTAGCTCAGAGCATTTGGGCTGGAATTGCAAAACAAAGCACTGTTGACCTCTGTGGTTAAGATAAGGGTCCTGCTTGTTCCATTTGGGTGGATTTGGGGTTCTGAGGTGATGCTTGGACATCATACACAGGAGGCTGATGATCTTCATTCCCACCCAGTTTCATCTTCATTAAATAACGGAGAAGTGAGTGTTCTGCAGGCTTGAAAGCACCATGCAATAGGATGAAATACTGACACAACTTTAAGTCAATAAGATTTCTTTTCGGTGATTTAATGAGATTCCACCAGGATTTCACAAGTAATTGCCAGACTCACATAATGCCTGCTTTTCTCCCCCTTTATTCCTGAATGAATTACTCCTTTGAGGTGGGGCCTGTTCTCCACCAAGGCTGTGTCCAGGCTGGGGGACAGAGGCAACTCTGGGCTCCCACATCAGGGGCTGGTGTTGGTGGCTGTCAGGAGGGTTTCAGCAGGCTGCCTCCCCCCAGCCCTCAGGAATCCCTGGGATCAGCAGGAGCTTTCTCAGCCCCGTTGGTTCCGTGGTTGTGTTGTGGCTTTGGCCATTCTGGGAGCAGCACTCTCCACCCAGGTTTGTTTGTAAACTCCTCGCTGGCCGGCGATGGGGAATTCGATACCTTATCAAGTGAGATACTGGGATTGAAAAGGGGAGAGCGAGGCAGCCAGAAGGAGAGATTACAATATAATAAATAGCAGAGATAGGGTGAGCTGCTATCAGTGGATGTTTAATGCCATTAGCCCGTGTGCTCTTGGGAGTGATGTGTGCAGGGAATGATGTAGGCAGGGCAAAGCACCCAAAGGCTCCTGGCAGCACCCAGCCCATTGCCATGTCACACTCTCCGGAGTCACTTTCCAAGGTGTAAAAATAGCCAGAACTTAATTCTGCCTTGAAAAAAATATTGAATTCTTTTACTCTGATACATGTGCTGTCTGCTGATGCACTGGCAAGAGGAAGAGGAAGGTCCGTGACAATAAATCTTGTTTTTCTTGAAACTATTTTGTTTTACATCAGAGAGGGACAGAGCTGGGGATTTACAGGAGGAAAGAGCCTGCCTGCTCAAGCAAGGTCCCCTTTTCTACCCCCACATCCTGAACAGCCTGAGTCACACTCTGCATGTTCAGCTTTACCTGGAACCCATTTTATCAATGTATTGAAATTAGGGGGAATTTGTGGGCTCCACAGAGCAGATGAAGGTGCAAAGGACCTCCCCTGCTTGATGCAGGCAGAGCAATCACCCACGGGCTGCAGTGGTGGCTGCTGAATCCCAGCTGGATGTCTGGATATCAATGCTCTTGCCAGATGTGCACTGCTACCACGGAGAAGGAGTGAAAAGGGAGGAAAGATAAAACTACAGCTTCCCCAGCCCTACATTTTTTTTTACAAGCAAACTTTCAGTGCAGTTAATCCCTCTAACCTGCATTTGCATTAACACTTGCAGCCTCACACGTTGCTGCTAAGAAGTTTTGGCAGCTCCTGGCCCTGATTGCAGAGGTAACACTGCACTTGTCTCCTTTGCTCTCACTCAAGGATCTCAGGAGCCAGAGCCCAGCACTCCATGAAGTTTCTCCCTGTACACACAAGCAGGCATCTTGGCAGAGCTTCAAAAGCCATTTGCCTTATTATTCATATGTCTGCTTATAGGAGCAGAAATGCTCCCATTTCTCACTTTTGGAATAAGGGCTGACACCAGGAAAGAGGAGATTTCTCATCTCTGGCACAGCCCTGCAAACCTGTGGGAGCTCATCGTGTCCCTGCTGCTTCCCTGAGGTTTGGGAAGCAGGTTTTAAAGTCCCCCTGATCACTCTCAGGGTACATGAACAGCTCTGTCAAAAACAACTGAAATCCGTGGGGCTTGGAGAGGGGGTCTCAGGGCTGATGAAACTGTAGAAGGATGACTTGGGGGGAAAAAAGCTTAAAAAACCCCCCAAATTTTGCTTTTCCTCCTGCCTTTAGGAAGGCTGACATTATGAAAATGCTGTAGAGATTTAAACATCATCAAAATTACTTCACCTCCTCCCTGCATTTTCTCAAACAAGCTTCAAGAACCCTCGCTTTAAAACAAACTAGTAGACTGAAGCAACCTTATAAATCCAGAGAGCCATTAGAAGTTGAAATATTTGGTCATTCCTCGTCTGGGGTGAAACTGGGATTCATCCAGAGTTCAAGTGCGTGCATCACAGAGAGCCAGGGTCCCTTTTGGTGGAGTCCATCTCAGTGCTGATGGTTTTCCAGTGCCAGGAATCCACTCCGCAGCCAGGCCAGGAGATAAATCAACACCGATGAAATTCAGGAGCCAGGAGTCACCACTGCAGCCCATATAAATCCCTGAATGCCAGCCCTGGCGCTTCAGCCCGTGCCATTAGAGCTGAGAATTATCTGGCCCCTCTTTGCTGATGTATGGATGAACTGGCTGGCCGAGTGTTTACCAACGTTATCAGCCGGTACTTGGGGCGTTATCAGAGGAAGGGCCGCCTGCCGCGGGGCTCGGTCTCTCACCCTTTCTATTACCACCTGTCAGTGGCAGGGAGTGTGCTGTGAAGCTGTACAGTCACAGACTACAAGTGTAGATAGTTTCTGACGGCTGATCAAAGGGGAAAACCAAAGGCCTGATAACAAGGACGTGTTTCATGTACTTTTAACTCTGAGAAACATTGGCATTTGCGTTTTTTCCCCTCGGCAGGCTGGCAGAAACCAGGCACAACGAACGCTGCGTATTCAGTTACCTAATAGTGGAGTAAATGGTATGTGCTTGAAGGAACAAAGCATAACTGTAATCTTGTTCCAAGTGGGAATGATTTAAGTAAGCCTTCGCAGAAGACTTGCTGTATAATAAAGGAGAATAATTTTAATTTGTACTTTGAAGTGATCCTGAATTCAGAATCTAATCTTTGCATTCGGCAGAACATCATACCCTGCTGTGAATGAGGTAATAACTGCAAGTCAAGGAATTATTTGGAGGATCTTTTGTAGGTACGTGCTCTCTCTCACAAGAACCAGAGTCTTCAGCAGGGGCTGCTGGTGAAAAAGCCTCTGTTAGAGCACGTTTGAGCTAAAACTTCCCAGTGCAGGAGCAGAGAAAACCCACAGATATCCCAGACTGAGGGAAGGGATCGATTTGTTCCTTCATCAGCACAAGGCAGCTCTGCCTCTTCTCTGTTTCAGAGCAGGAAAGGGAATTTAGGTAAAATTCCTGCCCATTAGCAAAGGCAAAATAACTCTTTCCATTGTCCAAGATGAGGAGGGGGAAGAAGCATCTCAGCAGCATCCCAGTGGAAGACTAATCGACTTCAAAAATAATTCCTGGTTGTCTAACACAAAAATACATACATGCCATTCACATTTGTGTTATTGTGCTGCTTTCCTGACTCTCACCAGTCTGTATTTTAATTTCCCCTTTTTGATTGCAGCTGCTTGGTCGAAGCTGGCTCATACTTAGGGTTCAGCCGTGCTGTGCTGTAACACCAACCTTTCAACTCCCGTGCTAAACCCGTCTTTCCAGGCACACGCAGCAGGAGGTTGGTGTCCCACACGTGTCCCGTTTGTCTGTTGAAGGTGCCTTCGACCGGAGCGTGACCTTGCTGGAGGTGTGTGGGAGCTGGCCCGAGAACTTCGGTCTGCGCCACATGTCCTCCATGGAGCACAGCGAGGAGGGGCTGCGGGAGCGCCTGGCCGACGCGATGTGCGAGTCCCCCAGCAGGGACATGGTGGGATCAGGAACAGGTACAAAGAAGAGGTGTGATCAGAGATCACGTACATCTCACCCAATGGTGATTTTTATTTAATTTTTTTTTTTTTTTTTTAGTCTCGCTTTTTCTTTTCTCTGTACGCTCCTTCTCTCTCTCTCTCTCTCTCTCTCATTCTGTCTGATTAATTGACTTTTGTGGGGATCTCAGTGGGACAGAAGTCATTTATAAAAGGAAGTTAGTGGTAGATCACATAAACACAGTCTGAGATATTGGCACATGAAGCTTCCTTATCATATAGCTGGGACAAGGGCTCTGCTGCATCCCCTGCAGTGCAGATTGCTGCCCTGCTCCAAACAATGCCATAATCACACATATCCTCATTTTGTGTCCTCAGCAGAGCCACTGTGAAGCGCTGGTTCTGTAATCCAAATTAATCCATCTTCATCAGTGTCCATTATATTGATAAATTGTATCATCTGTTTAAGTAAATGGAATGGCACATCAGAGATTAGGCTGTCAGGAGGGGCCCCGTGGTAGGAGATGCTCAGAAATTAAAGCGCAGTTACTGCAGCTTTATTGTCTCCATTAATTTCGACTTGTTCCAAAAAACACCTCCAGTAAAAACACCTCAGAGTGATGGTGGCCCCTAACATCAGCTGCCAACTCACTTCTCACTCTCGTGGCAGCTTGCCTGGGAAGGCAAAAGAGGAGAAACCAGCAAGAAGGTGTGGGAATGCCCACCTATGGATCTTTCAGGAAGAGCAGGAGCTGTCTCTTCCTTTTGCTCTTGCCCTTGTGTCACTGAGGGTCTTGTGCTGCTCTGAGCTCTCCCTGCTCCTCGAGAAGTCTCTCCCATCAGGGCACATCCTGACTTTGCTCACTGTGGAGCAGGTACCAAACTGGAGGAGAAGGATGCAGAGGAGCAGGATTTTAGCCCTTGCCTGCAGGTCCAGGCAGCAGTAACCAGTGCAGACACCCCTTCATAACCCAGCTGGTCACCTTTTCAGCTGCCTTCCTCTGCTTTCCATCTTGAGAGGGATGAAATCAAAGGGTGACTTGGATTTGGAATTAACAGAAAAGCTTGGTTGAGAACTGGGGGTGAGTCTGCTGCAGCTCTGGTGCAAATCCTCACCAGCTTTTTGCCTTGGCCAGGACACTTCATGAGTCCAGGAGTCCAGAGCTCCAGCAGAGCAGTGAGGATAGAGATGCCTCACTTTGCTGGTGTGGACTTCAATCAGCTCATGTCTGTAAAGAGCTGGGGAAGGTGGAAAAAGCAGGCTATGAAAATAGAGAAAGGCACATATTTCATCACTTACTGACCCAGGCTGTGATCAGTGTGAACTTTGGGAGGGCATCCACTGCTGATAATGGGTCAGCACCCCTCAGACTGTCTGTGGAAGGGGAAAGGTGAGGGGAATACCTCCTCTGAAAGCTGAAGCCTTCCAGATGGGCCAGGTTAGGGTGACTGACTGCCCTGGAGACTTGACAGTGTATTATATTGTAAACCAAGAACTTTGTCAGAGACAGGGCTCTGTATTTTCCTTCCATTTTCACCAAATCCAGCTGATGGCAGCCAGTCCCAGCTTCTTTGGCATAAGATGAGGCTCACAGTCCTGCAGGTGTAAAGACAGAAAGGAGCTGTTTATAGAGATGCCATCACTGAGTTAATATTCATCCAGAGAGATTTCTCCCAGCCCTTGCTCCAGCCCCATAAATCTCCCTAATGAGTGTAAGATAGATGCCATCTCAGAGCAGTGATTTTACGCAGCAATAATGAGTAACATGAGCACTGACCCAGCTCACCCCATCCCACCACCCTCCTCTCCCTGTCATTAACACTCTGTGCTGCCCTGCCTGTCGTGGCATTCTCTCCACCACTAACACACTTTATTCTCAGGATTTGGGCATGTGGTGACTCAGAGCAGCAGAGAAAACCTGGTGATAAGAGGGTGAACTCCCGTGCCCTTTCCACTTCCATCCCCTAACAGCTCTTGAGCTGTTCCTCTTTAGCAGACAGACAGAAAAAGTTCTCCCCTGCTCAGATGTACCTGGAGAGCTGCACTCACTGAGGGAGAGGGCTGGAGCTGGCTGCCAGCACCATTCCTCAGCCTGGGGAGCACAGGGAAGGGCTCTCATCTGTCTGCTGCTTAATAAATGGGCAGAGATAAGTGTGTAGCTGCATTACCCTCACTTCAAAAAAAAAGGTGTCTTTGTTGGCTCATAACAAGTAGGAGAGTTTTCACTTCCCCCAAACCACTTATATCATAACCCAGCTTGGCTGAACTGAATTATCTTTGAAAAAACTCAGTTTTCCTCCTTGGATTCTCTGCTGCCCACTCACCACAGCAAAGAGTTCAGCAGAAAAGGACACTGGAGTTTTGTTTGTTGTCTGTCTTGCTGCTTCTTTCAAAACCAGTGTTTATATTTCTGCATTGGACTCAAAATTGTGGAATTTATAATCCTTTTAATAATCCTAAAATAACTTAATTTATTCATGCCTTTATGTTTTGCATGCTTTAACCTCTGATTGTGCTCCGTGGATTCTCTTCAGTCCTTAAAGAGATTTTGCAGAGATTTAACAAAACTTGCAAAATCTTACTCAAACCTCAGCACAAATTAATGAACATTTCTAGCTGGGAATGTGAAAATTTGTGCATGTGCAGTGCTGGGGTCCAATGTGTGGGCAAAAACTGGGCAGTAGGGTGGACAGTGAGACTTTGTCAAGTGCTCGACTGGTCCTGACATGCACTTAATGGCAAGAGATAAATAGATTCTTTTAATGCCTTAACTGTTAGGGCATAGCTGACACGTGGGTTTATATAGAAATCAGGGCTGATAGGCTGCAGTGGTGTGCAGGAAGTGTGTGCTGTGGTGCACAGAGCACTCTGGGGAGCTGACATTCCCAGAGTCTTTGTTTTGTACCTGCCCCGCTGCATTGCAAAGCAGGGCTGGCAGCACTAACCCTGGCTCTGGCTACTGCAGGGGCAGAAATACCCCAAGGTTGGTCACAGCACGAAAATCCAGCTGGAGGATGCTGAAAACGTCAGGAATAATCTGGCATTTGCAGGAAGGGGGGATTAGATGGGGCTGTTCCACCTCCCACTCCGTGCCAAGGGCTGTCGGACAGGGGGTGGGAGAAGAAGCAGGGCTGGAAAACCCCCCCAAAAATCTCCTTTCCTTGTGACCTAAATGATAACTCCAGTTGTCCAGCTAGTTGGCTTGATTGGGAAACCAGCTTTTCCCCTTGTTATCCAATTATTCAGATGACCCATGTCTATCTGAAGTGGAGTCTGCTGTACATAAGCTGTCAGCCCAGATACACATTTAATTCCAAGGAAGCATGAATTGGCAAAGATGCAAAAAAGATGTTTTTGCTGTTCCAGTTTCTGTCAAACTCTCACTGAAAAGAAAAAATTATGCAAGTCTAGACACAAATGTTAGTGGTCAGTGCCCTCTTTTGCTTGCAAAGCTTTGTTTTCAAGCAGCTACAATATTTACATTTGCAGTGCAGTTCTTAAGTGCGTGCTGGAGCTTCATATTGCATTCCCCCCCAAAAACAAAAACCACCCTAGGACTGTGATTTATGAAACTCTGCTTCCAGAAGACAAATATCTCTGACAGGATTCCACTCAAACTGGGCAGGAGGAAATTGTCAGCTCAGGCTAGAAATCTTTCCATCCAAAAAGACTAATTAATAAATCCTCTGCTTCACCTATTCCTTCAGCAAGTACATTTTTTAAGCTTTCCAGTGTATTTTGATCACTTCCAGGCTTAATATTTAAAACCAGCCTATAGTAGGGAAGCAACAGGTTGTTTTTTGAAATGCATCTTTCTTCCAAAACTCCTGCAAGCCTCCAAGTCAGCTCTCACCCACAGTGAGGTGCACCTCAGAGGAAACTGCCTGGATTCCTTCCAAATTTCATGAACAGACTCATAATGCGCTGAAGGAAGCTCATATGCTGAAGCAAACTCTTTAACCTGATTAATGGGATGTAAGTAAGTGGAGCTAATTAGATGTGCTGTTAGGGAATGGCCTGTAGGAAACCTGGGATGGGGGCTCCAGGCACTTTGGGTCCTGCTCCCCAGCCAAAGCCCAAAGCCTGAGCCTAACTTGGGTCTGGACACCTTTGAGCTTTGCAGAGGGATGGTTTTGGAACCTTCCTGTGAAATTTGGGGGCTGGAGAAGGGAAGTCACACATTTCCTGGAGTGCCTGGCTGAGGTGGGAAGCAAAGGGAGGAGAGCAAGGTGGCTCCTGTTCAAGGACCATCCTTCCTGGGGTTTTTTCCACAGGAGAAAATATCCATGCTCACAGGGTTTATTCCAAGATCAGCAGCCACCTGGACACTGATATACCTGTACATTTAGTTTCAGAAATAGGATTAGCCCTTTAGAGAGTTTGAGCTTTCAGTGGTACCTTCCCCTCCCTCTCTCCTTCCCTCCCTCCCTTCTATCCTTTCTTCCTTCCTTCCTCTTTAATTTTTCTAAGACAATTTTCCCCTTCTCTCTCCTCAGCTGTTTTTTATCCTAACTCAGGTGTGGGCTATAGATACACAGAGCAAATTATTTTCCCCCTGAAGAGCATTTCTGCCAGGAGATTTCTGCATAGGTTCAGTGCAAAACCAGCTTGGGCAGCAAACCCACTGGTGGATCAAATAACATCGATGCTAAAAGCAGCCTTTGAACTTTCAGAATATTCATCCCAGGGTCAGAGATTAAATTACCCCCTCCAATAAGTCTGGGAGCTCAGTGCAGTTCTTCCTACAAAAGGTTTATTTGGATGGGACTGGTTGAAAAGAAAGGAAAATTCAGACTCTTCAGGAGCCACCATTTTGGAAGTGCTGGATGAGAGGAGCCTTGGCCTTGCACACATTTTGGGATCTCAAGCACTTCAGTGTGGGTTTTTTGCTCTCTCCTGTCCAAAGGTGTCACTGAGCAGCCCCATCCCACAGCCCTGGGCAGGTCCAGCAAGGGCATTTTTAATTTCCCAGTTATTTCCCATGTCTCCAAATCCAATCTTGCCACCAGCCCTGGGAGGTTTTGCTGGAATTTCTTCCAGGTCATTCATTATTTAAGGGGGAGGGGGTGTGAATGCTGATACCATGAATATTTCTGATGTGAATTCAGGTTCATTGCTGTTTGTAGAAAAATTCCAAAGGGAGCACTGATGCCACAAGACACCTCTGACTTTCTGCCATTTGATAACAATCTTGATCAACTGCATTTGCTTATTATCAACTGTGGTGTGGGGAGATTCCTTTTCTTTATCTTCTCATTAAATCAAGGCCTTTTTATTTAAGAAATATTTTATTTTTGATACAGACACAGCCGGTGAAGTAGCAGTAAAAAACATCACCACAAAGAGGCACATGGCTTTGAAATGTTTTGGTATGTAACATAACTGTATTGTTATCAGGTCTTAACTTTTGCACAAAGAGTATTTTCCCTTGTTCTAAAAGCAAACCCTCTCTCAGCTTTCCAAGGGCCACGTACCTAACGTGGCCACAGGGGGACAAACCAAAAAATATCAAAGTGTCTCAAGTCATTTCACAAATAACATTGTTCTGTTGCTCTCCTTAAATGAACAAGAGTTTCTTTGATTTTTTTTTTTTTAAGTCAAATTTAGGATTCTGCTGTTCAGAGCAGAGAGGTCACAAGGCCCTAATGTATTTAGCATTGACTGCCCTCTCTTGTAGTGCGTCTATTAGTCAGTAATTTGATTTGTACCTATTCATTTGCAGTCCCTGCAGGAGCTCTGAGCTGGCCCCAAGTATAATTGGTGCTGTCTCTATTTTTACATCATTAGATTAGCCCCGACTCCTGGCCACTTGTTGTCTGCGCTTGTCTGTCCATTTATACAACCTAATGTAACACAAAATTCATTACTGATCACATTACTTTCAACTCTGAAGCCAGCTTTGTGATAAACATTTTGTTAACCCTTCCCTGCCAGTACACGGACCTGGGGGATAAATGCACTTTCCCCTCTGCAGGAAAAATCAATATCATAATAAAACAAAGTGCAGTCACATTCCTGGATTTGTCATTCCTCCCGGAGGAAGAAATGGGGAGGAACATATAGGAGATGACTAAATGGTGTCTGCATCCAGGCATCTCACTCTGCTCGATATGAAATGAGCTCAGCAGTGTCCTTTCTACTGGAATATAAAGAAGTGACACGAGATAGGGCCAGCACTCAATTTAAAACTTAATTTCTTACTCATTGTTCTGCAAGTGTTTTAGCTCTTCTGGTCAGGCTGTAATCAGGTTATGACATTATTGGAACTGGACATTTTTCTTCCAGTGCTTTGTCTCAAAAGCAGTGAACAGAGACACAGTTCCCTTCTTCCCTTGGAGATTTGCTGCTGTGTTGGGTTTTTTTTTTTTTTGTTTGCTTGGGGTTGTGGTTTTCCCTCCTAATAATTAAGCAAATTAACTGCAGCACTCCAGAATTTCACAGGAAAATTCAAAGCTCTGTCCTGTCTGGCTTGGCTTTGCTCACATTTGATTGTCTGCTGAGTCCCTCCTAAAGCATGAAGCTCTTTGCATCCCTGAGGCTGCTGCTGGTGATTCCAGGGGCAGCAAGAGGAGAGCCATGGTAAGGTATTCCCCCAGGGCTGAGCATCCTCCCAGATCTGCTTGCAGCATCCTGCCCACAAGGTGATTCCTGCTACCCAAATGTGTTTTGGTGCACGCAAAAGCTGTTGGGTTTTTAACAAGTTTCCTAAATTCATTTTCTGTTTGCACAGCTTGGCTTGGAAATCTGTTATTTTGGGTTTTCTAAATATTTAGAAATATTTCTCAGTGTTTATTAAATCTTCCCTTTAAAAGTCTGAGGCCTGAAGCCTGCCCCACACCGAGCGGTCCCACACAGGGAAGGGGGCAGGAGACAACGGGATTTTTCCGTCTGTAATTCCTGTAATTACCTTGTCATTCCTTTTAGGAGTCTTTCTGTGGTGTTTTTGTGTAGGATATGACTTATGGCAAGCATATCTCTCTCAGTAAGTATAAGAGCCCTCGGGTCCCAGCATTTGAACCAGGACTGGTATTTTTACAGCTGTTTTGTGAGCCAAAACCTCTTGCAGCTGCTGAGGTGGTGGCAGAATAAAGACAAGACAGTTCCTGTCCCTCCTCCCAAGCCCAGCAGCCCCAGAGAGCCGTTGAGCATTTGCTGATTTTTGGGATGTGCAGCACAGGCCATCACAGAGCTCTCATAAACTATGTATTGCCCTCTCCAGGGGAGATGGGAGAGGAGGCTGTGGAATGGAAACCCATTTGTGCAATAAATTGTTAAGCAGTCAAACTGTTAAATGAACACTTATTAGAGAGGTAAGGTGAAGTATGAGTCACCAAACAGCAAAATACACATTAACACAGCAAACCCTCTGCAGTAAATGGGAAATCAAGAGCCAAGGCAATGCAAACATTGCAGTGTGAGCCAACCCTGTGATCCACCACAGGATCTGCTCCAGGTACTTCTCCCTCTTCCTGTGGTCCTCTCAGCCCCTCTTCCACCAGAGGATCTGCTCCAGGTACTTCTCCCTCTGGATGCTGGATCATTCCCTGTCACCTCCCATCACCCTGCACCTTTCTCTAACAGAATATCACACAGAGTCACCTGATTCTCCCAATAATCCTGCCTTGTTCTCCGTGCTGGAGTCTGGGAGCATCAGGGCTTGCTGGGCGCTGATGGTGTTGGATGTTCGATGTTCACAGTGTGCCTTGGGGGATGTGGGCAGGCAGAAAGAGAGGGCCAGGGAAAATGAGAAACAAAGCCAAAGGGATTTTGGCTGGGGGAGGATCTCGGTGATCAGTGGAGACTCCCTGGAGCATCCCCATGGGATCAGCTCTGGTGGCTGCCCCTGGAGGAAGGAGGGTTGTGGCCAGGTCCCTGGCAATGCTGGGAACACTTAGTCCTCCTTGAAGTATATATCCTAATTTGTGGTATGAAAAGATTAGCTTTCCTTCCATTCCTAGCCTGCTGTCTCCCCACCATGGATAATATATAAAACAGTAGACTTTTATTCATTAACATTTATGGGAAAATGTTAATATTAAACTGTAAGTGAAAAGCCCCATCTTATTGAATTCTTCTGCTGTGTTATTGGGAGCCTAATTTCATTTTGCATTTAAATAAAAACCAGATGACGTTCAGGACGGTCAGGCAAGCATTCTGTAAGTGAGAATTTATCTTGCAATCTGGGTAAACAATGTCTCATCATTTAACAGTTATTATAAATAATGGGGTTTTAAGCACTTTGCTGGGAGTTCATATTGGCTCCACACGGGTTGCACTAAGGGAGAGAGAATTTCAGTGACATCTTCCAGGCATCCGGTGAGGAGGAATCATATCCTGAGCTCGCTTCTCAAGCTGCAGTTTTCATCCTCCTCTGGTTATTATTGCTCAATATTGTGTGCACCATCCACTGACAAAAAAAAAAAATTAAAAATGTAAGAGGAAGGAAAATGACAAATTGCTTGGAAGCATTTTGAAAATGAAGAAACCCTGTTTGAAGCTTCCCCATAAAAGGGGAATGTGTTCAGCCCCCTGCAGATGTTCAGGCAGGTAGCTGAGCCTCCAAAAGGGAGATTCTTTCAGTAAAAATGGGGCTGTGTAAAGGTTGTGCATTCGCAGAGAGTGAAAAAGTTGTTGAGGCAAAACACAAAGGCAGAAAGATCATAAAGCAGCTGCTTTTTTCTGTGTTTCTGCTGGTGCCCTCTGAAATGGCATCACTGGTGGTTTTATGCTTGGGAACACATGAGGTAGCTTAGAAAAAGAGTAAAAACTGCTAAAATAGTAAATAGCTTTTTCCCCAACTCCTGTTGCTTCTATTGTGCTTTCCAGTGCTGTCCTTTCACTGAGGGGCAGCGCTTGGTGCTCTCTGTGTTCCTCAGACCCCTCCAAGGCATTTCCCACCACAGGCAGGAGCAGCTTCCCTTCCATCTCTCCTGCATCCTGGGCAGGGGGGAATTAGTTTTTCCATGCAATTTTAGGAGCAACTATCTGCTGTTGTGGAAGGATCCTGAATTTGGGAGCTCCTGATGCTGTCACCTCCCCGAGCCCACCTCAGGACACAAACTGCCTGCTGCCTTTTTCTGTGTGACCTATTTTATGCCATTTTCCAAAAAGACTCCCAAAGCTAAAACACCATCTTCTTTTATTTGTTTATTTACTTATTTGGGATATTTATTTGTTGTTCCCTTGGTCAGTGACTTTTTCAGGAACTGCCCAACACATGAACTCTGTGTTTACACCAAAACTCGATGGTGTTGTGAAAGACAGAGGGTCAGTATCACTTCTCTGACCCTTTCCAAAGATGTTTTTTGTGGGAAGGCTGCAGGCAGGACCTGCCCTGCTGCCTCTGCTCCAGCTCAGTGGCATAACAGGGGATCCAGGAGCCAGGATGGAGAGCCCTGGCTGGGGTGGGTGGCATGGAAATGGTGGCATTTCCTAAAAAGATTGCCCTGTTGTGGAGGAGGCTTGGGCATGTTGCTGTGCTGGAATTCTCCTCAGGCAGAGCACAGCATTCCCATGGATGGCATCTCCCACCTATTCCTACATGCCACAGCTGTTCCTGCTGGGTGCTCCCACCTTGTCAGGTAGAAATGACATTTGGAAGCAAAAATCAAGAAATAAATTAACCTTGCAGCCTTCTTCCCTCATCTGCAGCCACGGAGGTGAATTGTGCAGGGACAGACCCCTAATGTAAAATTTGGGGGTGCCTTTTGTCCTCCACTCAGGGCTACTTTTATCCACACCCTCTGGAAAAAAAAACAATATTTTGATTAAATCATGCCAGGACCGTGTTGTCTCTTTGGTTTGTCTTTTTGGAAATGTGGCTGGTCACCCACCAAAATGTGAGCAAAAAGTCTGCAGAAGACCACAGCACGAGGAGCAGGCATTTATGTGAACTTCACTGCCAGGTGCCTAAATGTAAGGCAAAAATCATGATTTAAATTGCTTTTTCTGGGGGATGTGACCAGAGGAATGCCTTGGTTTGCCATTAGGTCTTTCAGATTTTACACAGAGTTACCTTCCACCAGCTCCTCCACCAGCTGCAGCTCACCCACACCTTGGTAAGAGTGCAGCTACAAAGATGGAGTGTAATAGAATCAGTGCTTGGAACAATTTTTAAAATATGACTTTCAAAAAGCAAAATGTTGAATTTACTATTTCCAGCTGCCTTTTGGTTTCAGGAGCACAAATGTGAATTGCTCTGTTCAACAGCTCCTTTAACAAAGGGACAAATTAAGCTTTGAATGCCATTTTTATCAAGGCTCTTTCATATTTATGTCTAACATCAGAATTTGGGGCTATATAAATAAGAGAGAGTGGATTGAGAGCCTCAAGCAGCCCTGCAAGAGAGAGAGCCCACGAGACTGGGCTG